CCACCATCTCTTCACTAACAACTAGATGGCCAATCTTTTGTGGCAATGCAATAGATAGAGTAGAAACAAACCGTCCTTGAATCATAATGGTATACAGGCTCAGATGACTAGAAAAGTTGTGAAAGAGCCAGATTTTCAGGAGCATTTTAAAGCAGAACAGGCGAGCAATGCAGAGAAAAGTTGATGGAAGAAATTTCAGAGCCTGGGGCCTGAGTAGCTAAAGGCCTGACTGCCAATAGAGGGGTAAAGGAAACTGAGGAGACACAAGAGATAACAGAGTGAAAATTCAGAATATCTGAAATGAGGTCATTATTTTTTCATTACAAAGAAAGGGAAGTAATAAATATGCACATTGTTCAAAATACTAAGATGGATTTAATTCATTATTGATTTACATCTCACCAAGCGTGAGATAGAAAAATCATCACTTTATACACATATGCCACAATCTGATGGCTATAAAAACAGGTGAAGTGCCAGGCTGGATCTCTGGCCATATCGAATTTATTCTCAGCTGCAGTAGAGTTTAAGAAAAGATTTACAAGGATGTTGCTGGAGTTGGAGGGTTTGCGCTATAGGGAGAGCCTAAATAGGCTGGCGCTTTTCCTTGAAGGGTCAGAGGCTGAGGGGTGACCTTATAGAGGTTTATAAAACCAGGAGGGGCATGGATAGGGTGAATAACCAAGGTCTTCTCTACCAGCGTAGGGGAGTCTGAAACTAGAGCGCATACGATTAAAGGTGAAAGGGAAAAGATTTAAAAGGGACCTAAGGAACAACTTTTTCACACAGAGGGTGGTGCATGTATGGAATGAGTTAGCAGAGGAAGTGGTGCAGGCTGGTATAACTACAATTTTTAAAAGGTATCTGGATGGGTATGTTATAGGAAGAGTTTAGAGGGATATACGTCAAATGCTGGCAAATGGGTCTACATTAAGATCTGGAGGCGAGCTCACTTCACCTGATGAAGGGACTGTGCTCCAAAAGCTTGTGATTTCAAATAAACCTATTACTTGGTGTCGTGTGATTTCTGACTAGGACTAGATTAGTTTAGGATATCTGGTTGGCGTGGACAAGTTGGACCAAAAGATCTGTTTTTGTGCTGTATAACTCTATGACTCTACAAGAAGCTACAGTTGGCCTGAGATATGGGAGATGATGCAGTCTGGATCCACACTCCTGATCTCTATACAATGCCTGCAGAATGAATTTGTACAAATTCCTCAGTGCAATAAACTGGGTGATAAAGAACATGTTTACAGTTTTGTTCACAATTAACTTTCTCCTTGTATCCTGCCGCTACAGGGCTGATGCAAGACCACAGCTGCTTTTCATTTAACTTGACACAAGATTGAGGACTTGCAGTCAAAATGTGAAAGGGCGCTTCATTTAACATCAAGTCTTCCTTTCTCCATGAACAGCATTATCGTTTCCACATAACACAGTACACAGAGCCATCTTCCCAAGCTAAAGGCAAAGTGAAACTTCACCAGAACCACAGCTAAACCATTCATTATTAATTACCAAGAAGAATTGACAACATACTTGAGGGAATTAATGACTAGGAATTTTAGCCTCAAAAGATCATTAGAAAGAGAGATGAGCAAAAGAGGAGAAATTTGAATAAACATATGCATGCAAAAGCTAGAGCTTTCTGAATGACTTCCCATCTTTAAAATAATAAAGATGATTAAATGAATGTCGTCCTTTGATGTGTAAACAAATGAAATGAATTTTGCTGCACAGTCACTTGGCTGGATGTCCATCCACCAAGTTCTCTTTGGGATCAGGTCTAACATGGTATTTAGTGCTAGAAGGAAATTCACTGTTTAAAAAATAAAACTAAACAGCTTCCACTCTGTGACACTTTGAGTTATAGCAGAGCCAAACACAACTTAATATGGGATCTATCCTACTTAGGCTACGTAATATATGGTCTCCTTAAGGGAGGGGAGGCATCAGCACTCTATATGAAAGTTTCAATTCATCAAAAAAGCACATACTGATTTTGCCATTAATAATCCAAACTCCATCAACCCGGGAATTGATGTCATTTTCTCCGATGAATCCACTGGACAGTCCAACATCTGTTTCATGCTTTTAAAGTCTGTGTAATGGATAAACAGCGAACATCTAAAAATAACATCCCATTGACGACGGACCTGGCTTCAAGTATGCCATTACTAAGATATTTTTATAAGTTGGTAATCAACGACATCTATTCTATTTATAACACAGTCCAAAATCAGGTGGACTGGAGGTGCCATGTTACTATGGAGAAATGCACTCCAACAACCATGATGGTACACAAAGTGCCTTTGTTTAGTGAATTTTGGCTCAGAATGTTAGTGCCAGCAAATGGAACACTTTCCATGTCAGTTATCCAGCATTCAGCTCTTCTAGTTCAGGTGAAGGAAAGCTTCTCTCTGCTCTGCCCACTCACCTTCTGCGAAATAAAAAAGTACTTCATCAAAAGCACTTTTTAGCCTCCTGTTTGAATCCAAGTCCTGCCCGTAGCACATAAATTGGGACGGTTTACTGCACAGGAGATGTAAATTTTGACATGTCGTAATTTTATCAGCCTGCCTAATCCTGCTCCTATGTTCCTATAAATAAAGTTTTGAATTTTTCTTAAATTGCATAAAGGATAAAACTGTAATCCTGCTGTCTTGACAGTGGGTTGTCTGAACAGACTGGAATTGTATGATTCAGTTGGCAGTCTGACCCATTTACCTGGCAATGCATAGTATAATACATAGAGCAGACCTATTCGCTCAATGATACATGGTTTCTTCATAGCACATAGCACAGTGACGGGTGTGACAGATCCATCTCTGAGCCAACACATGGTGCAGCAACAGTTTTTTTATTCATTCATGGTATGTGGGCTTCAATTATTGCTCATTCCTCGTTATCGTGAATCACTGCAGCCATTTGGTGTAGGAATTCCCATAATGCCATTAGGAAGGAAGTTCCAGGATTTTCACCCAGCGATAGTGAAGGAACAGCAATATATTTCCAAGTCAGGATAGTAAATGACTTGGAGGGGAACTTGCAACTGGCGGTGTTCCCATGTTCTTCTAGATGGTCATGGTTGTGGATTTAGAAGAAGCTAAGGACCTCTAGTAAATTTCCGCAGCGTACCTTGAAAACGGTACACACTGCTGCTATTGAGCATTGGTGGTGGAGGGAGTGATTGTTTTTGCATGTGTTGCTGGTCAAGCAGGCTACTTTATCCTCAATGGTGTGAAGATTCTTGAGTTGAAGCTGTGCTCATCGAGGCAATTGGGAAGTATTCCATTACATTCCTGACTGGCGCTTTATAGATGTTGGGCAGGCTTCGGAGGTGAGTAACTCACTGCAGGAATCCAGCCAATGGCATGCTCCTTTACGCACTGTATTTATATGGCAGTCGAAGTCAGTTTCCAGTTTGATGGCAACCATCCGAGGATATTGATACTGGAGGAATTGATGATGATAACTTCCTAACTTTACTAAGGCTCCTTGATATCACACATGGTCTTGACAGTCAAGGGCAGTCACTCTCACCTCATCTCTGGATTCAGCTCTTTTGTCTGTGCTCAAACCAAGGCTTTAATGAGGTCAGAAGCTGAGTGGCCCCAATGGAACCCAAACTGAGCGTCAGTCATTACTGAACAAGTGCAATTTGACAGCGCTGCTGATGACCTCTTCCATCACCTCACTGATAATAGTGAACAGACTGATGGAGTTGTAATTGGCCAAGTTGGATTTGTCCAGCTTCTTGCATGCTGGACCGACTTGAGCAATTTTCCATATTGTCAGGTGAATGCCAGCATTGTAGCTGTACTGAAACAGTTTGGCTAGGGGCATGGAAAGTCCTGCATCTTAAGTCTCCATTACTATTAGCAATATGTTGTCAGAGCCCATAGCTGTTGTAGTAAAAACACTTTGAGCATTTCTGATATCACGTGGATTCAACACCAAGTCCCCAGAACATATCCTAGGTTTCTGGATTACTAATCTATGACAGTTCCACTATGCCATTGCCAACCCTAAGTCTAACCCTTCATTCTATTTGGATTAAGAAATGGCTTGGAAGACATAAGTGTGTAAAATAGAATAAAATCAAACAAGTAAAGGAGCTTGAGATTCTCATGCTAAGGTCTGGTGGATCTTTGGGTAAAACCAGCCTAGCTTACTCCGAAACTGAACATCTTTGATTAAAAGTAATACCAAGATGACATATTGAGCCCATCACTGCAGTTTGTATGTGCCAGTATCTGAGTAGGTAATTGTAATTTAATGGAAAATCTAATACATTAATCACCCCAGTAAAGAAGCCGTCTGACAGTTATGCAAAAGTTGTACTCCCAACTTTGTTAGCCATAAAAATACTCACAAAAAATGACTGGACATATATTCAATTCTATGGGACTACTTGAAAAGACTTCTACTAATGCTCAGGATGAAGTAACAGTTCCAGTTGTGCAGTGTAAAGACTCAATCTAAAAATGGCACCAGATTGTGGTACTTTTCACTGTATCTCCCCAGATATATATGATAATAAATTATTCATTCATTCAATCAGCTCACAAGTCTTGGCTCAAGATGACCAAAAATAATTTGATCAGTTTTCTGCAATTAGTGCATGTAGTGTGCATGAGTAGAAATGGTTAAATGCAAATAATTTACATTACAGAGCAACTGGCAATAACTGATATCTCACCAGGTTAGACTGAAACATGAACAAAGAAATAACTCCCACCTTTCATTATGTTAATACTCGCCTTCATTCGATAGCATCATCCTTTCTTCTGCTTAAGGACACTGTACAAATTGGAACTTACCACTGCTTCCAAAGTTGGATCATACTGAGCATAATTTGCAAAGATACAAGATAACTAGCCATACATAAACTGAAAGGAGTAACATATAAAAAAATTTCCAATGAAATTTATTCATATAATTGCAAGAAAAATAAAACTGGCATCATCAATATCTGAATTTCATTTGCATTTCAGAAATCTTGCCCATGAGTTTATGTATTCACACTCTTCACAGAAAAGATGAAAATGTTGGGTTTGAATCTGTCTGCCAGATGGTTCTCAGAACAGGAAAAACTGGAATCATCAACAATTGTATGAAAATACAAGTACGGGAGATTGCAGGAGAAAGATGTTCTTGAAAAGTTACTTTAGAAAGAGAAACAAATATGGATCTACACATATTTCAGGTAAATGGTAACCTACTCCTATCTTAGGTGATGTTAGAGAGGGGCAGATACATTAAAATAAGAAATATGGCAAGACATCAGAATAGAGCACATGGAGTTATACCGAATATTTGCCTTTGAGCAAACGAAGGTAAAAGGAGAGTTGACATGTATTAATATCATGTAGAGATTATATAGAGTAAACAAAGAGAACGACTAAAAAGAAATGCAGGTAAGACAACAGGCAAAAGAAATAGAAGTAACATGAGGAAATACTTTATTATGCAACAAATAGTTAGGAACGTAAACATTGCTAAAAGGTGGCAAGAAGTTGAAACTTTTCATCTTGCAGTTATCAGAACTAGGATACCAGAAACAGATATGAAAGAGTCACAAATTTGTACAGATTGAGAAGAGAGTGCTGATTGGTTGAGCCATTACTGGCACAGAACACAGAAAGAACGAGTTAATTGTCAATCTTAATTCTCAGACCAGGGAGATGGATTCTGATTAGTCAGGATGTTGTCATGGAGATATAGCAGGGTTTGACTATCTCCTTTTTTTTGAAAGAGTGCAATGTATTGACAAATTCCATTTACCTACATAAAACAGGATCTTGAGTATTCATTAATGTAGCTTCTAGCACACTTGCACAAAAGCATCACCGATAATCTCAAACTTTCATGAATTTTCATGATTATCTATCCGTCTACCACACAAATGAGTAATGCTGGTTTGTGCTCAACCAGCTCGACCTTGCAAGCCTCAGAAATGTATATCCGCCATTAGATGTGGTTCTGCTATTTGAAATCAATTATTAAATAAACCAGACTGTGCTGAGTTACACCAGGAGCCAATTTAAGATCACTTGCCAGATCTACAGTGTGATGTACTTGCATGTACTAGAAGCTAAACACATAAATACTCAAGACCTTGCTTTAAGTGAGCAAAAGGAATTTTTTCATTGCACCCTTTTTAGAAGAAGTAGTCATGAGAAGCAAACTCTACTGCATTCCCATGGCATCCTGATCCTGACCAATCAGGATCTACCTGCCTGATCTGAAAATTAAGATTGACAGTTAACTGTTCCTGCTGTATCTCCATGTCATTGATTGCACAACCAATCAGCACTCTCTTCTCATTCTGTATAAAATGGTGTCTCTGCTTGTATCCTAGTTCTGATAACTGCAAGACAAAAAGCTTCTGGTTTATATTTAAAGTAATGTTTAAGTTTAGTATGACTAAATAGTTAAGATTTGGTATGTACTGCCTGGTAGGATTATGGATTCACTAGTGATATTCAAAGGAAAGTGGATAAGGTAAACAAATTGCAGAAATGTGGGAAAGAGCTGACACAAACCTAACAGGCCAGAAGACCTTCTTTCTATGTTTCACTGTTCTATGACTTTTTGTTCTGTCTCAGCTCTGATATGGAGCTGTTGGTGTTGGACTGGGGTAGACAAAGTCAGGACTCACACGACACCAGGTTATAGTCTGACAGGTTTATTTAAAATTACAAGGTTTTGGAGCCTTGCTCCTTTGTCAGGTGAAGTGCCTTCACCTAACAAAGGAGTAGTGCTCAAAGATTCTGATTTTAAATAAATCTTCTGGACTATAACCTGGTCTCATGTGACTTCTGACTTCATCTCAGCTCCTACGTAAGGATAATGAAGCTTCTCACTTTCCCCTACAAGTGATGCGACAGAACGTCACCAGGAGTTTGTGGATCTCAAAGAGTAACACAGGCAGAAGTTTAGGTCCCAAGTTCAAGGAGCATGCAGGATTTTTTAAAAATTGAAAAGTAGCATCCAACATATCACTTGGTGGTCAGGGTGGGAAGAAATGCCTGTTCAATTCAGTATTGTTTAGCTTTTAACTGATTTCTTGGCCTTGGGCAGCACGTGCCGCTGTTGTTAGCCCTGCTGCCTCAGAGTGCGAGGGACCCGGGTTTGATTCCACCCTCCGATGACTATCTGTGGCGTTTGCATGTTCTCCCCATGTCTGCATAGTTTTCTTCCAGGTGCTCACATTTCACCCCATAGTGCAGACATGTGCAGGTTAGGTCGATTGGCCATGCTAAATTGCACAGAGTCCAGGGATGTGCAGGCTAAATGGGTTAGTTCTGGGTTACAGGGATAGGATAAGGGGGTTGGTGTGGACTCATTGGGCCGAATTCCCTGCTTCCACACTGTAGGGATTCTTTGATTCTTGTCCAGAGTCTCATCAAATGTCCTCTGAAATTCTATACAGATTATGATAGTGATCTTCTCAAAATAATTCAACTAGTATGGTCAGACATGGCCTAGCTTTCAGAAATCCACGCTGACTCTGATCAATTCATATTTATTAAAGTGCTCAGTCATTCAAAGATTAGTCTACATACACCAAGTCTTGCTGCAACTCCCATTTGAAATGTTTAGTTTAAATTGCTTCTCTTCATTCTTCATGCCAAATGGATCATTTAAAAATTTCTTGCAATGTTTTTTGTAATCTGTCCTGTGATTGCCCATTTTACCAGTCCTTGTACAGCTAAGTCCACCTGAAGACTATTACTATCCTCATTACCATCTTTCTGAGTATTGTGCCATGTACAAATTGAAATCATGCTCTGCGTACCCAAGCCCAAGTCATTTATATTATTGAGTAATGATGTCTAGGCTCCCGTAACTTCCCACAACTGGTACTGAACTTTCTGATTTCTCTCTCCTTAGCTGCTTATGTAATGAAGGGGCATACAATTTTTCAACACCAAAAAAGAGATAATTATTAAATCCAGAGAAAATTTGAATGTCACATCTGCAGTTTCTTCACCTTTTCTTTTAATCCCCTGAAGTGAAACCCACCTGCTCCTGAAGATTTGACCATCTTACTTTTCATTATTTAAAAAAAACAACAAAACATTGATTTAATCCACTGATGTTCTCCTTTAAATTTAATAACTCTTGTAATGCTGATACTTTGTCCTCTTCATCTATTCTGAAAGCTGATACATGCACAATATACTCAATTAACATGTTTACAGTTTCCTTACTGTTCATCACTGTTCCTTAATCTCTAAAATCCTTTACTGTTAGCTTTGATATTCCTTGGAATTTTTTTCAGATTCCCTTTCTAAATTGGTTATTACTTTTCTAAAATAGCTTTGTTGTTTTTTAAACCTCCCTCCTTTCAAGACTTCCACTGAGTGTTGTATTTTATTTCTTTATAATTGATGCACTTTTCTTTTTAACTAAGCCACATCTAGAACATACACTATTTATTGGTCAGTTAAAAGACCATCCTCTTTCCCCAGCACAGCAACATCGGAGGTAACTTGGATTTAACTGATGTATTGTGAACTAGCAGAGTCATAACTGGAGATGTTTTTAAGAGATTGGCTGTATTTGTGCCCTCTGTTCTTACTACTCTTTTCCACAGAGAGGTGGACACAGTTGGCAATCTGGAGAATGAAAAAATGATCCTATCTACTTGACTAAAATATGAGGAATCTCAAAGAAGAAACAGCATTTTTTTTAAACAAAGTAGATGCTAAGTTAAATAGTTCAGGACAATGTCAGTAGTGTTTATGTCAGATCCAAGAATGACATAAGCTCAAAATATTTTACTTTCTTCTGTTTGATAGATTTCCTGTCATTTTAGGTGGGAGGAGAGATGAATCAAAAATAGGTTTACAAATTAAAACTTAATTTCTCCACTTAAATAAATAAAAGATTGAGACAAAATGTTTTCCATGGTTAGACCTGAGCATTGCCATGGTTACAACTGAGGGAACTAGCAACTTGTGAGAATTTCACCCTTTCATTGAACTTTTTGAAAAGTGCACTGGACAGAACGCTTGTTTTTAAATGTTTGGTCATTAACTAATACATCTCCTCTGGCATTGTTGACAGATAGTCCAGGAATACAATGGGTAAAATTATGAATGGAAGTTCTCATTGGTGCAATATTTATCTCAAAGAAACCAATCAGCAGAAACTGAGTGTCTTATAACGGATAATGTGAGACTGCATTATGACAAATAACAGAAATCCATTCAGATTATTGAAAGGGACTTGAATATTACAACAACTTTTGTTTATGTAGAATCTTTAACATTGTAAAAAAGATTCCAATACACTTCACTACTATTGCAAATCAAAATTTGATACTGAACCATGTAAGGAGATATTATGGCCGGTGGCAAAAAGCATAGGAACAACAGCAGACCATTCAGCCTATCAAGCCTGCCCCCTGCCCCACCATTCTACATAATGGCTGATCATCACCTCAATGCCATTTTCCTACACATTCTCCACATCCCTAAATCTCAACAGTCCTCTAAAACCTATCAATTTCTGTCTTGAAGTTCCTCAATGATTGGGCTTCCACAGCCCTCTGAAATAGAAAATTCCAAAGATCCATATTCCTCCAAGTGAAGAAATTCCTCCTCATCTCAGTTTTAAAAGGCCTTCCTGAGGTAGGTTTCAAGGAGCAGCTCAAGAAGTGAGCTACAGCTAGAGACATCACTGAAGGTACAAGCACCAACTGTATAACAATGAAAATGGAGGATGTGCAAAAGGTCAAAATTAGTGAATCACAGAGATCCGAGACGGTTATGGCATTTTCAAGAGGATTGGAAAACTACCAATGTAACACACTCATTCAAAAAGGAATGAAGGGGGAGAAAGGTAACTATAGATCAGTTAGTTTAACATCCGTCATTGGTAAAGTGTCAATGTCAATTGAAGGTTGTAATAGTACGGCATTTAGAAATGCATAATATAATTGGAGTCAGCATGACGTCATGAAGGGGAACCATGCCTGACAAACTTATTGTAGTTCTGAGGAGTTAATAGGTAGAATGGATAAACAGGAACCAGTGGATGTTATATAACTGGATTTCCAAAAGATGTTTGATAAGCTACTGTACATAACGTTACTTAAGATAAGAGCCCATGCTGTTGGCAAAAGTATATTATCATGGATAGTGAACTGGCTAACTAATAGAAGACATAGTTGGGATAAGGGGGACATTTTCAGGATAGCAACCTGTATGTAATGGGAGGGCCACAGGGACCAGTACTGGAGCAGCAATTATTTAGACTATATTTTAATGACTTGGATGAGGAATGTGACTGTAGTATTGTCAAATTTGCAATGACACAAAAATAGGTGAGAAGACAAGAAGTGAGGATGAAATAAAGAGCCTGCAGGACAATATAGACAGGTCAATTGAGTGGGCAAAAACTTGGGAAGTGGAATGTGCATCGGCAAGAATGAGGATATGCATTTCGGCCGGAAATAATAATAATAATAAACTCAAAGCTTTAAGACAAAAGGAATTTGGGAATCCTCATGCGTGAATCACAAGAAGCAAGCATCCAAGTTCCGATGGGTAAAAGGGAAGGCAAACGTGATGGAGTACAAGAGAGTGATCTTGTTAAAACCTTACAGGCATGAACAAAGAACAAAGAAGAACAAAGAAAATTACAGCACAGAAGCAGGCCCTTCGGCCCTCCAAGCCTGCGCCGATCCAGATCCTCTATCTAAACCAGTCGCCTATTTTCCAAGGATCTGTATCCCTCTGCTCCCTGCCCATTCATGTATCTGTCTAGATACATCTTAAATGACACTATCATGCCCGCCTCTACCACCTCCGCTGGCAACGTGTTCCAGACACCCACCACCCTCTGCATAAAGAACTTTCCATGCATATCTCCCTTAAACTTTTCCACTCTCACCTTGAAATCGTGACCCCTAGTAATTGAGTCCCCCACTCTGGGAAAAAACTTCTTGCTATCCACCCTGTCTATACCTCTCATGATTTTGTAGATCTCAATCAGGTCCGCCCTCAACCTCTGTCTTTCTAATGTAAATAATCCTAATCTACTCAACCTCTCTTCATAGCTAGCACCCTCCATACCAGGCAATATCCTGGTGAACCTCCTCTGCACCCTCTCCAAAGCATCCATTGGTAATGTGGCGACCAGAACTGTACGCAGTATTCCAAATGTGGTTGAACCAAAGTCTTATACAACTGTAACATGACCTGCCAACTCTTGTACTCAATACCCCATCCGATGAATGAAAGCATGCCGTATGCCTTCTTGACCACTCTATCCACCTGCGTTGCCACCTTCAGGGTACAATGGACCTGAACACCCAGATCTCTCTGTGCATCAATTTTCCCCAGGGCTTTTCCATTTACCGTATAGTTCGCTACTATGAGTCAGACCACACCTGGGATGCTGTGCACAGTTTTGGTTCCCATAAATGAGAAAACATATCCTAGTGTGGGAGACAGTTCAGAGAAGGTTCATTAGTTTGATCCTGGTGGGTAGGGATTTTTTTATGAGTACCGGTTGAATAGTTTGGGCCTGCACTCATTGCAGTTTAGAAGAATGAGAGACTGCCTTATTAAAAAATATAAGGTTCTTAGGGAGCTTAACAGACTAAATGCAAAGGGGTTGTTTCCCCTTCTGGGAGACTCTAGGACTCCAGGGCTTAATCTCACTGTAAGCAGTCACCCATTTAAAACACAGATGAGGAAGTATTTATCTTAGAAGGCAGTGAATCTGCAGAATTCTTTGCCTCAGAGGACCATAATATTAATATGTGCACAGTCACACCCGCAACTTTAACACTTCAATATACTCATTTCATGCTTAATCATTTCTTCAAGTCATTTATTTCATCTTGCAGAGCTCTGCCTACAGACATGAGTCATTATTGATTGGGATTGGAGGAATGTACTAATAGAGTTGGCTAAGCAGAAAATGCGACAAGACAGATTCAGAAGACTTTTTTACTTGATGTTTGGATGATATTTGATCATCCTAATATTACATTCAGATTATTGTTAATTAATGCTTATTTGAATCTTCTTTGGATTTCTGTCAATTAGAATCACAAAAAGTCGGCCATTCAGCCCATTAACTCAATTCTTCTATTCAATGAGTTCATGGTGAATTAGTATCCTAAATCCATCAATCTGATTTGGTTCCAGATCCTTTGTTTTTGCTAGCTAAGAGTATTATGAATTACAGATTTCAAGTAATTACCTGTAACTAGCATCGACTGTTTTTGAAGAGAAAGTTCAATACTCCTGTTATGTATTTTTGTGTGGGAAGGAGTATTTTGCAACTGCTCTCATCAATGACCTGGCTCTAATTTTTAAAGTCATATCTTTCTGCCCTCATCACCTCAACAAGAGTATAATGTTTCTCTCTATTGGCTCCAACAATGCTTTTCAAAATCCGTAATGTTCAATAGACTTAAGCATTAACTTTTTATATTCAAGAGAATACAAGCTTGCTTTATACAATCCCCCTTCATAGTTTAACTTTTGCAGCTCTGGGAACATCCTGATGAATTCATGCAGCACATATTCCAAGTCCTGCAGCTGAACTTTCTCCCTTTTCTTTACATTCAAGTTATGAGAAAGGTAACATTCCATTTAGTCTTTTTGAGTGATTTTACTACATTATAGTGACCCAAATTGAAAGAGCCCCCAATCTTATCAGATTTCCACTGCTCCTAGCTTTTCATAATTTAAGATAATATTCATGGCTATCTTTATTTGATTGAAATGGATAATCTCACAATTACCTGGACTGAAATCCATCTGCCACCGGTTCACCTACTCACTTAACCTTTCAGTTTCTCTTTATAATTTTATGGTTCCACCAGCACTATTTACCATTCCACAAAACTGTGTTATCGGCAAACTTTGATACATCACTTTCTATTGTATTATCTAAATCATTAGCAAATATAATGAATGGCTGATGTCCCTTAAGAGATTCCTGTTGCCCTAGAAACACAATTTATTTCCTTGCAATCTGAATATACACTATTATTGATAAGCTTCTACCACCTAAGCAATCTGTCAATAAGGTTAATAGTTTGTCTTCAATTTATGAACATTAATATTAACTAATAGCTTGTGTGAATCACAACTTCTGAAAGTCCATATAAACTGCATCCAAACATTTCCTTCTCTACTACTTTATGAACTTTCACAAATAAAAGCAAAAATTTGGTGAATTAGACATAATCTGCTCTCTCTCTAATTAACACAATTTCTCTTCAGTACTCAGTCACTCATTGCTTAATTATAGATTCCATAACTTGCCCACAACAGACGTTAGTCTAACAGTCTATAATTTGCCAGTTCCTTTCTTTTGCCTTTCTTGTATAATGGAGTTAGTCACAATTTTCCAATGTAAAAAAGGGTTAATTCCCAAATATAGAACTTTGGAAGATTATGACTATTTGCAATAACAATTTTAACTGTCGCAGATTCTCACAGAATTACTTCTGAATGAAGCCTACAGAACAACTTGGGAACTCAACAAAGATTACCAGCTATTGGGATTTCTGGAAAGATCGGAATCCATAAAAGGTAACTCATTCAAAACCTGTCTCAAATTCATGCTAAAAGAAAGGAATATGTTGGGAATATTTTTTAAAATAGCAAACTGCACATTAACTGATCAATCAACATAAAACTGACTTTTTAAAATTCAATTCAGATGTCAAGTACAAACAGCAATAAACATTTATTCCTTATCTGCATCATTCAACCTTTCTGGTTAAAATCCTTACAAGAACTACACACAGACTGCACAGATTCAGTGGGACACAAAAAGGTTGCCCTCACACATACACTTACTTGAGAAACAGTAACTCTGTGTATTAACTGCAGTACACAATGATGACCCACTCTGCACTGACAACACCCTCAGAATGAACATGTCCTTAAATTGATTTAGGAAAAATGGCAAAAACATGATTGCAGTTGACTAATCTGGTACATCCCCTCAGATTCAAGTGTTTTTCTGCTTCCTCGGTGGTCAGCCAAGCGGAAAGACACTGTGTTCACTGTTACATATATAAGTACTACATGAAAACAGGGTATATGATGACACCCTTTCAAGTATGAATATATTAAAGCTTTAGACTTTGTTTACCAACTTGCAAGAGTAGAAGTAAGTTCTGCTCCAAATAGAGTTCGCCCTTTGTCCAATCCTATTAGATTCAGATCAGTCTGCCTGCATTAACGTGTTAGGTTGTTACATTCAACTATATAATGCACCTTGACAAATACACTCAAGAGATAAGTTCAAATGGAGAATTTTAATCTATGTTTCACACAGACAGCTTCTATAATAAAATTATGTTATAATAATGTAATTACGGCTTTTTTATCATAACTGTAGATTTTAAAATGTCAGGCCATTTCACAATACAACAAACTGCACTACTTTAGAAGGAAGAGATTTTTCACCAAGGATGATTCTTCTATTGTTACACCCAGTTTAACCCCAAAGTTTCTTGCATCAAAATCAGAATAACCTTTATTGTCATTAATTTGTCTTTTCTTGTTACTTGTGCTAACTAAAGTTCTGTATGTTATAATCCACCCCTGTAATTTTACCTCTTCTGATAGGACTGTCCTCGCTGGTCTAATGTAAAACACAGGCATTCTGTTACCAGCAGACAGTATGTGAATACATGCTTATCTCCCCCAATGATCTGTCTACTTTCCCCTCCCCTCATGTTCCTTGCACTAAATTTTCTAAATCCCTCCACTTAACATCTCAAACCATCCCATCCCAAATACAAGCCCAACAATCTACTATTAAATTTGTTCCTAAATGTGCTTTTAGTTCCATGATAAAACATTTTTTTATCATTACAGCACAGTGTTTAATTAAAATTATTTTTTCTTTTCACATTTCAGCCCCTTCAAACCACAATGACTCAAAAGAAACACTATGTTCCGAAGTTGGAGAACCCATTTGCTCTTCCAGCTCATGACTACACAGTCCAAATGTCAATGTTTACTTTTCTCATCCTTGCTTAGCCTCTACAAACCATTCCTAAATGCTGTTGGTTCAGAAGAAGACTAAGAGCACGGCAGTGCCCTTTGCTTTGATAACATCCTGTTGTTCTGAGCCATATGGGAAATGAAGAATTCTAAAGAGTTAAGTATTGTGAAGAGCTGTTTACCATTTATAGGATGCCTGTACTTTGTACCTAGGGGTCTACAGTTATCTTTGCTAATCACACACATGCAAAGGTTACAAGTCTGACTCCTTTATTAATTGTATTTTCCACACCCCCACCCCCAAGCAAAGCCTCATTCACCTTTAATACCATAGCACAAACTAATTTCAAACCATCAAATGTTGAGTGAATTCTACAACTAGGTAAGTAAAAGCATTTTAAATCTTGTTGAGCTGAACTGGAGTTTATCAGTTTTCCCTACACTATAATGTTAAAGTTTCTTTTCGTTACATGATCTGTGCTTGGATCTAAAACCATGCCCAAAATGTTCTGTTTAGTTTTTGCTTCTGCATGAAAAGGCATTTGAACACATAAAATGTTCAAATAAAATCTCACTTTTAGTGTGTGATCTCTTCAGCATCACCAAAGGCACAACTGATACATAAAGAAACATTAACAGAAAATGATCTGAAGCCAGTTCACTTACCACTTGAGGTTTGCCTTTGTTGATGCTTGATCCAACTTCCTCATTTGGTTTTGACAGAGAGGGCACTCGGGGTTCGGTGCTGGTTGGCGTACCAGGAGCTGAGGCAGACAAATCCTCTGGTAGTTGAAGGGACGATTCCCCTTTCAAAACGTACTGCCTGGTAACGTCTTCCAAGGATGGAGTCTGTGCCAAGGGAAACTGCTTTCTAGATTGTCTTGTGGATTCTGAGGCAGTGACATGAATTGGCTGGCTACAAGACAAATGGGTTTCTGGGGCAATGACTTTGGAGGCAATGGGAACAAAATTGGCAGGCTCACTCGTGTGCCTTATGTGCTTGGTTGACGGCCTTGTCTTGGACGGTGGAGACTGGTCCATCTCACTCAACGTGTCATACTTTCTACCCTCCTGTTGCGTGACCCTGTTATTACGCTTCTTGGAGCTGCGCCGCATTGACCGTGGAGAAAGAACCTCTGCTAGTTTTGGGTGCAAACTGAAGTTCTGCAAATTAGCTTTATCTTGTTCTTCAATGACGTGTAAAGGCAGCATACGTTCAGACTGTGAACGGGGTTTTCTAACCTGCTTGGAAAACTCCTCCAGGTCTCCTACTTCATCTCTCTGCTCAGAAAGAATGGGTTCACTGCTAGATGTTGGAATCACCTGCTCCATCTCAGTTATGGGCTCACTTGGACCTGTAAACTCTGGGGTACTCAGTTCACCTCTCCGACTTGGGTCACTGAGTGACTTCTTTTTCACCAACTTCCCATTACCTTTCTCATCAATCACTTTGTCCATCGTTCCTGGTTCTCGAACTATACGTTGAATCACAGTGTTGTAGTCCTTTAAGCCATCACTGCACACTGACAAGTCACTAGCTGCACTTCCTGTGCATTCTGATAAAGCAGTGGCTGAGCATTCCAGGATGCCACCTTTGACAGAGTTTAACGAGCCCAACAAGTTGCTGTCCACAGAGAAATTTTCCGTTTCTTCTGCACACTTCCTATGTGGCATTGGGTCACTGAAGGATCTGTAGGTGTCGCCACTGGAGTCACCATTGCTCCCATTGCTGGAATCGGATCCATTGCTGCCACCAGGAGGGAATTTCCGCCTACGCCGAATGGAGCTCGGAGTCGAAGGAGGATCCAGAATGACTGAAGCAGCGGTTTTATTGTACACCACATCCCCTCCTATTGCAACACTCTCATAGCCAGCCCTCACTGCTGTCATTGCAGGAGCCGTGCCTTGGTTGACAAGCAACTCGCTCTTCTCCTCTTTACTGAGGTCCCTGGTTGGGTTTCGCACCAATACGTGACTGGGAATGTCCTTGTACAAGGTGCTACTTGATCCAGTCTCAGGCTCAGTAACAATTCCTTCATCAGTCATGCTGGACTCAGGACCCGACAAATCATCAGCTGATTTCCCACCAGACAAATTCTCCTCCGATTCCCCCCTTTTCACAGGTTCCAGCTCCTCATCTGCAGCAGCAACTGATAACTCAGCGTCTTTCCGAAATTGCGAGTCCTCCCCAGTACCTTCAGAACATTCTGCCTCCTTCTGGTCAAGTTTGAGAGGAGGTTCTTTCTGAGACCACATTGTATTGATTTTCTCAAAAAGCTGCCCTGCTTCTAAAATGTACTGAACCTGCATATCAACAGGCAGCAAGTCCTCACCTCTTTGATGGACTGTGTCTTGGTTTTCGCCCTCTGAAGCAGAATCACAGCCCCCTATGTTTGCAAGCATGGCCTCTGAATTACTGGGTTTCATGAGATTGCAAGCTATAGGCCTACGTGTCACTGGCTTATCAGAATAAGTGAAAGACTTGGCACGCCGTAGGGTGGCAGTGAGATCTTTGAGAGTAGGACGTCCACTTGAGGTTTGCTGGCTTAAAGGATGGAGTGAGCCCCTGCCTTTTGCCACTGAGTTGAGCTCATGTTGCCATTTTGTGTTTTGGCATTGAGCACGTCCAGTACGATCATGATTAACCCCATCACCATCAAATTCTTCCTTTTCTTTCCTCCTCATCCTGAGCCCGGAAAAATCCGATTTAAGAAAGTTAAACAAAGTCAGTGTTTCAGATGCTATGTCAGGATTTGACAGAGACTTTCTGTGCTTAGATTTATCAGTGTTACATTCATACTGTGAACTCGCGCTCCCTGCTGAACCCTCAGTCATTACCTTTACAATCCCGAAAGGCAGCTTGGGTCGGGAACGCACCAACGGTTTCAAATGCTTTGCTGCCTCATCTCCATGACCAAAGCTTGGGGACCGGTGCATGTTCAAATTCCCTTGTAAGCTCCTGCTAAATGCAGAACAGTGATCTTCGTCCTTTAGTGTTTCAGTGCTGGAGTATCTGCTGCTGCTCCTTGAGCTGCTGGGACTCTGAAGGAAGGACTGGATGTTGACTTTCGCAACCCTGGAGACCATCGGGATGGGTGACCCTGAAGTGCTGTGAGAATGATTTGTGGGGCTGGGCGTTCCACTGTCTCCAAACAGTCCCAGAGACCTTTTATGGCTCTGTTCAACTTTGTTCGTTTGGCAGGCTGCTGAGACACACTGCTTCCTCTCACGTGGAAGAGTTGCCAAGCCACACGGGGCAGAACAGTCCAGTGTCGAGGGGTATGCTTCAGCTGTTGGCTGTGACTTCAAACCGCCCTCACCTTGGCAAGGGAAGTGCTCTAACTGACCGTGCCCTTCATGCCTGGCCAGAGATTCACCTAAGGGGGCATCACTGTCGGACTCATCTTTGTTCCCCACCACCAGGCTGGCTTTCTTTTTCCTCAGTGATCTTCTCTTGACATCCCTGTGAACCATGGGCTGATCTTCCTCACTCCCTGAAGATCGGTCCTGAGACCTGCCTATCTTTGCAACTCGACTGCTGTACTGTACCAGATCTCTGCTGTATTGCTCCTCATCGCTAGAGCTCGCCGGTAAGCTGGGAGCAGTGGGGACAGCCTGTGGTTTGGAGCAGTTATGCGTGGAATGTAAACTATCTGATTCCTGTCTTCCCTCTTGCTTGTGTAGACCGGAGGAACGCCAAGGCAGCCTCAGAGCTAATGGGAGGGAGCTGCGAGGCGGTGGCGGCGGGGGTGGGGTTTTGTATCCAGGGCTCCCGGCTCCTTCAGTCCAGCTGAGGGGCTGCTCGGTGGCTGCTTCAGACCGAGAGGGGGCCCCGGGGCACCGAGCCCGGGCAACGGGAACCTCCGGCCACAGCGAGGAGCCGCCACTGGGCTTCCTGGTACCGGGCTCCCCGAACAGCTTGAGCATCTCGGTGACGCTGGGCCAGCCGGTACCGTCACCGGGGGCTGGACCCTGCTCCCAGTTCACGGCCGGCTGCACACACTCCGGCTCGGCTCGCTCTCCCTCCAGCTCCCGGGGGCCGCTGTTCCGCTCCCGCTCGCCAGCCCTGACCTGCGGGCTAACTCCAACAGCGGGAGCCGGAGGCAAGCCGGTCTCCCCGGCATCAAAGCGTTCGGAGAGCTGGCGGATGGACGGCGAGAGCTGGTGGCTCTTCTTGGCCTCGGAGCTGCAGGAGACGAGTTTGCAAACCGAGCGGACCCTGGCGGTAACCCTGGGGCTCGGCTGCTGCTCAGCCCGACCTCCTGCAGCTGGGCACGGACAAGGAGGCTGCACACATCCCGCTGACGGGTTACATTGCTGCTGGCTCTCCTCAGCCGGGCTCCTTGTTCTCAAATACTGGAACGAAACGCTTCTGTAAACACTCACTTTTCTTCTCTGATCTCTCTCCGCCATCGGGGACAAAAAGATAAATCTCTTTCTTTCCTCTTCTCTCTCTTCTTCCACGCCCCCCTTCACATCCACTGCTGCACAAGTCCTTTCTTGAAAACGACCCAACACATTGTTGACCCCTGTTTGTTCTCGCAGCCCCTCTGTTCGGCCCCCAAGTTAATAAATACTCACACAGCTACTAAATAAAAGGAGGAATCCGAGCGAGGAAGCAACAAGCGGTGGTGACCTTTCCGACACTTCTCTCGATTCTTTGAGCCCAGCCATACACCGCCAGCAACAAGAGGTGAGGTGGGAAGGGGGGGTTGGAAAATGTCCTGCCAACAAGATGAAAGTTCAGCTCCCAAGTTTTCGCGCTGCGCCTTCACTTTTTCAAACTGATTCTTCGCCCCAAACTCGAAGCATTTCCACACGGAGATCTCCAGCATTTTCTTCCAGGTGTATACAAACTCCCTTTGCTGTTTTACCCATTGATTTTTGTTTTCTCTCTTCGACAATCTGCTATCTACTTTTGCGTGACTTTTGTCTTTTTTTTGGAAGGGGGGGTGAAACATGCAAATAAACTGGTCTGAAACAGGGCGGAGAAAATCAACTGAGGGACGTCCTCTGGGTGCAAGTTTAGCAGAGGTGGTTGGGGGTTGGGGGGGAGCGAAGAGTTCCCTCCAGTTTATATTTCCAAGAATTTTTTTTTACCGCGATAGAATGACTTCCATTCTGCAGTTTAAGGGTTGTGTTCTCTATGCATCCACATGTTAACGGGATTTCAGCAGCTTCTATATTCTCTTTAGCCCTCTGCATGTCTTTAATGTTTAGGCTTCTTTGTGCCCGAGAAGTAATCTCTGCACCACCACCCCCCTCCCTTTCCATGGTTTATACGGTCCCTGTCATTCAATCAGGCTGCACTGAGACCGCTTTCTTTCATTAGGTTTTGCCCTTTACCTCTGAAAACTACTTGTTTCTTTTTCTCGTTTCTGAACATTAATTATTATAAAGTGACACGCTCCAATGATTATTGGCGAGATGGTTGTGAGAAGCGCGGAAAGAAAGCCTCTATCGCCCCCGAGCGATCGTATGTGGCTTAGGGGGGCAGCAGTTAGGCTGATTTCTCAGATTGCAGGGGGAAAGTGGAGTTGCGATCCCAGCCAGATCTACTGGAGGGGCTGAATG